TCTATCTATCTATCTATCTATCTATCTATCTATCTATCTATCTATCTATCTATCTATCTATCTATCTATCTATCAATCCATCCATCCATCCATCTATTACATAAAACCTTAAACTAAACCAGGGTCAACTTTATTTTCGTATGACTGTTCTTTGATTCTGTGAAGAGTTCACTGCTCTCACAATGACTCCAAACACTAAATAATATAAGCTTTAGATATGCTCAAGGCTAAAATCCCTACTTTAATAAACCGGTGCTGTTGGAAAAATGTGCCCTTTATAGACGGTGTGTGAACTCTATACCTCCATTCAGCAGTAATGAAAAAAACCCTTTCCCTCTTTGTGTTCTCTGCGTACGCATGACTGAGTATTTTCATAGCGAATCAGTCATGTGTCAGACCTGAACAAAAGATATTTCTGATTGCTCATTAGTTATTAATGTTCAAGAACATTGCTCAAAACACATGTCTGCAAAAGTCTACAATAACCACCTCTGTAATTAAAGCAACTACTTTTTAATGATTTCAGATTCTAGTTTTTATGAGGTTTTTCTGGAACTGAATTATTTTAAAAACTTTTCTTCGTTAACAATAAAAATCTCTAAACAGCCACTTGTATCAGTTGCAACATCTTTGAATGCCCTGCCTGCAGTCGTCTTTCTTTAACTAAGGTTTTTTAAAATCCTAAATAATGAGTTCTTACACGACTGCTGCAGTAATATATAAAAAGTGTATGCACTTTAACAAAGTTGTTTTATATGTTTGTTGTTTTAATAATTTCCTCCTGTAATCAGGAGATTTGTAAAAAAAATTATAATTGGGCATCGTTTTTACTCACCCCATTTGAACATCATCATTGTCAGCAGGACAGTTCTTAGATTCAAATTAACTTTTCCAAACTCCATGATAGAGCAACTCATAACAAAAGTTAAAATGAAATAAATAAAATAAAATAAATAATGGAGGAAGTCCTAAAGTCCTGACATGCCTCTATGTCAAGAAGCTCCTTGTTCTTGCTTTACAGCCCGGCATGGAGAACACCATCCAGCTACAGCCTCCCCCCAGACCATAATAAGCCACGCTGAGACAGAAGCAAAACATGAGGTGGACTGCCACTTGCTGATTAGCAGAGAGGCCCTTTGAAACTCTCTGAACCTTTAAAGGGAGAGTTCAGTTATTTTGAAGTGGGTTCTGTGGAAAGATAATGAACAACTAGAGAAATAAACATTTTTTGCAAAAATACAGTATAAATGCTGAGCACTGAATGACTGCTGAAATTTGTGAATAAGCTGCATCTGAGTTATCAAAGCTAAAATTAGCTTAATACTAATTAAAAGCTAAAACGAGCAAAACACTAAAAGTCAAAAGTAGAAAAATGCTGCCTGAAACCCAAATATAGTCATATGAAAAGCTAAAAGTTGCAAAACTCAAGCTAAAAACATAAAGTAGCATAAAGCCAGCTAAATGTAGCAAAAGGCTAGCTAAAGTCAATAAAATAAGGTAAAAGCTAAAACGGCAAAAGCATGCTAAAAGTAACAAAACACTAGCTAAAAGTTGTGGAAGCTAACTAGCTAAAAACAAAAACTCGTAGAGGTCAAAAATAGAACAAGTATGCTATCATGATTTTAAAGAGAACAATGTTTCTGAAATAATCGAGGACATTTTTCCATGAGGAAAATATCTGTAATTAAAAGTAAATTTACATAAAGGCTAAATGTTGCAAGAACCATTGGTCACAATGCTCATCCCCTGAATGAACTCATTGCTTCGATAGATAAATGGTTTTAATGGCATTATAAAAAACCAATGCAGAAGTAGTTAAACTGCCAAAAACATTAAAAATAAATATTAATAATGAAACAGGAAAATAATTAGTGTGGATGGTGAGTCAGCACTCACAAATAATATTTTACCTTTTGTAGATAGCTCTTTGAATTACCTCAGTTTGGAAATATAGCCATAATGTTGCCACTCAGGCACTTCCAGCAAGATAATTATATTTCTATGTTTCTAAAGCATCAATAATATGAAATAAAATTGGATTTTTGAGATTAGAAATGTTTTTTAAGACAAATGTGAGCCATTCTGGCCTTGGACCAACTCAAATTAACAAATAGCTTCAGTCCATTCAGAACTTATTGCTTTTTACTAAATTATTTCATTACAATGTACAGGACTTTCAAATGAACTAAGCTGGATTTGTTCACTGAGGTGAGTCCATGCCGGGTTTAGTTACGAGCTCATTAGTGTTTTCAGCAGATTAATTAATTAGTTGTCTCTTTCTCATGTAGAGCTCAGCTGATGTCACGCCTCTACAACTGTTCTCCCAACCAAACAAGTATTTTGCTACTTTTAGATTTTATGTGCATTAAGAGACCTTCAGCTACTACCACATCAAATTTTTAATCATGTAATTCACCGAGTTATAACAAATTTTTATTTATTTTGACACACACACACACACACCTACACACACACACACACACACACATACATACAGTAACTACATACATAGATACATACATAGGTACATGTGTACATACGTATACATACATACATACGTACATACATACATACATACATACATACATACATACATACATACATAC